CATTGGCCTTTTTGGCCACAAGTGCACACTGCTGGCTCATGGCCAATTGCTGGCTCATGGCACATCAGGGCCACAACCACAGACGTGCCAAAATCAGGGGGCTGAGTCCACCACACGGACCGGCTCGAAACCATCACAGCCGGCATCCGCCATCTTCCCGCCGCCTCACACAGGGCGGGCGGGGCCCGGCGGGGCGGTGGGCGGGGCCTCCAGCCACGCGTCTCTCCCATTGACTGCGAGACAGCGGGCGCGGCGCGGATTGGCTGCGCGCGTCGGCGTGAGGAGCAGCGGGGCCGCCGTCGCGCTGGAGGCGATGGTGCTGGACCCGGGGGCGGCGGGCGGGCAGGGCCGCGCGGGGCTGGACGCGCTGCCGGACCGCGATGGCTCCCGGCTGTGCTCGTGTCCCTCTCCACCGCCTCGCCCGACGGCGTCCGGTTCACCCCGTTGCCCGCGGGGGAGCCGGCGTTTGTCGGAAACCGGCGCCGGGATGCGGCGGAGCGGCAGCCGCGGGAGGATGCGGGCCGCCGCGTCGCTGCCTCACATCGCGCGCGGGGCGCGGGGCGAGGAGGGCGGCGGGGCCGGGAGGCGCAGCCCGTGTCTGCTCGTAGCGCTGCGGCCGCGCAACGTGGAGACCGAGAGGGAGCGGTTCTTCAGGGAGCGCTTCGCCTACGATCCGCAGTTCGAATACGCCGAGCCCGTGCCCGAGGCCGTGCTGGAGAAATACCGCGACGCCTCCGATCGCTTCGTGGCGCAGGTGAGGGCGGGTGGAGGAAGCCCGGATTGTGCGCAGCCTGCGGGAGCGGAGGGGATCGGCCCCTCTGTCTCCGTGCAGGACGGGAACAAACTGCAGAGCGTCCAGAGGACGGAGCGGATCTGCGAGGGGCTGAGCGCATCCTATGGGAGCGGCTGAGGGAATGGGGCGGGTCGGTGTGGGGCTGCAGCCCTGACAGGAGGATGTGGGGTGGGTGAAGTTCAGCCTCCGCTCCCGGGTGACGGCGGTAGGGGAGAGGGATGGCCTCACGCTGCACTACGAGAGGGTCAGGTTGGGTGCTGGGAAGGCCTTTTTCTCCAAACAGGCAATGAGGCTTTGGAACAGCTGCCCGGGGAGGTGTTCAGGAAGCACCTTAATGTGGCAGTGAGGGATGTGGGTGTTGATTGGGTGATCTTAGAGGTCCTTGCCAACCTAAAGGGGCCTACAGGAAGGCAGGGGAAGGGCTCATTGTTATGGAGTGTAGTGAGACCACAAGATTTAGATTAGATGTTAGGAAGAACCTCGTTACTCAGGCCTTGGCACAGGCTGCCTATAGAGGCTGCGGATGCCCCATCCATGAAGGTGTTCAGGGCCAGGCTGGATGGGGCCCTAGGAAGCCTGACGTGTGGGAATTGTCACCCCTTGGGACTGGGTGGGCTTTAATGTCTCTTCCCACCTGACTGGTCTATGATAAAGTTTGATCCATGATCCATTATCTTGGCTCTGAGATCAGCAGCCACCACTAAGGCCGGCCAGGCTGAAGCTGCAGCACATGCCATGCATAGAGGCACCCCTCTGGCGTGCTCCTCGCCCTGGCTGCTGCTGTGTGACCTTGCTTATCACCTTCTGGGTTGTCTGTTGCTTTGTTTTGTTTTGCTTGTCTAAGCTGTCCTTTAATTACATGTTCAACATACACCTTCTGTAGCTGATAAGAGAGTGACTCCTGGGGCTGGATCAAACTCCATGCCTCAAACTGTCTACAGACCTACAGCCATGGTTGGGAGCTGGCAGGGAACCTTTGCACTGTTGTTTTAGAACTGACACACAAAGAACTGAAACATCTGGCTGGCTTCATGCAAAGCAGCCCTCAGCCTGCATCCTGCTGGCTGAGCCTGGTTTGTTTTTTGGAAAGTGTAAAGGTTGTCCTGCGTGGCAGCACCCTTAACCCATAATTATCAGCAAGCATGGTGGGTGGCAGGTAGGTTGTAGGCTCTTCTTACAGCAGTCTGTGTCTTTTTCATCATCACTTCAGTTGCTTTATAAGCTACTGAAATATTCCTGGCTGTTCTCTGCCACAGGCAGTAATCACAAATGAATGGCAGCAAATGGAGAGCATTGGGTCATCAGAGCAGGAGGCAAAAAGAGTGGGCTCCTCTATGCTCTGCCTGCACACAGCAGCCACATCACCTCTTGCTTCCTACTTCTCTAGAGGACTGTTACCCACATTGTTTGGTCTCTGTAAATAACTTTCCAAGCATCTAGGCATTTCCAGTGCTGTTCCTGCTACACCTCTGCCCCAGTTAAACTGGTGCCAGCAATGCTGTTTCAGGGGAGATGGTTGGATTCCTGTAATGACCTTGGTGTGGCTTTTCTTTCACTCCTTCCTTTGCTTAAGTGTGTTTGGGTCTCTGACTAATGCACTAAATTGAATTGTGCAGAGCTACTTCCCCACTTCTCTTCTGGTACAGCTGGCTTACAGTGCTCTCAAATGGGAATAATTGAAATTATTTGTGTCTGTGCATTACTTGGAATGAAATTAACTGTTCATAAACAGCGTGAGTGTTCTCATCTTGTTCTTACACCCACTGCAAGAGATATCAGTATTAAATATTTCTACCTACCTTTACAAGTTCTCTGTGTAATGTATCTTGGGAGAACTACTTCTGCCTTCTCAGTGAAGCACAGCATGCAGCAGTCAAGAGTGAGAGCTGTGGAGAGGTACTTCATGTGGAGGTGAGTGCTCAGGTGAAGGGAAAAGGGACAGGAACCTGGCAGCTGTGGTGTCAGTGGTCCTTTGCTGGCACCCTGCACTCAGCACCTTGTACTGATTTAACATCTTGGTGCAAGAGCAGACAAACCAAAATCAGTTCCCTGTCCTTATTTTTTTGTGTTTTGAGATTGATGCCCCCTTCAGTTCTGCTGAATCAGCTGGTCTGTGTTGTGGTTTGTTTTCTGGTGGTTTGTTGTTGGTGGGCTTTTTGTTGTTGTTGTTGGGGTTGTGGGTTATCTTGGTTTGGTTTTGGATTCTTGGTTTGTTTCTGCTATTTTAATTGGGGGCTGTTGTTGTTTGGAGGGTTTTGATGTTTTTGTTTTGTTTTGCTCTTTGTTTTTCTTTGCTTTTGGTTTTGTTTTTAGAGGAGTTTGGAGTCTGTTGGTTTATTTCCTTTTCCTATAGAAACAGGAAAAAATCAGAAGGCTACTTCTAGCCCCTCTATGGCTTATGCTATTAGAGATCAAGAAGACTGTTGGCAGCCCAGTTCCTTGGAGGCATAAGAACAGCATCAAGGCAGGGCTTGGAGCACAGCTTGAGTGTTTGTTGTCCCTTGACACGTGGCCTCTGGGCTGAGCTGGTGACAGGCTCCTGCTCCCAGCCCAGCCAGGTCACTGACCGGGCAGGAAGGGTTGATGTGAGCTCAGCAGCTTCTCACAGAGCAGATGTGCTATCTTAGGAATGTTGCTGTCTGTGACTTGTCTGCAAGTTGCAGTAGTACATGCCCCTTTTGTCAGCTTTGCGCACCATCTGCACTCAGTTCCTCTTTGCCTGCTGCTTGCCATCTAAGGGAGTGGGGGACAAAGTTTCACAGTGAGTAAACAAAGGTGATAAGAGGGAGTGGGTCCTTTTCTTCTGCGAGCCAACAGGAGGGGCCTTGGTGGCTCTCCCACATTCAGTTCAGTGCCTGTCTGGTGGCTGCTGCAGGACTGAGCTGATGCAAGAGCACGTGCTAAGGTCATCCTGGTCATTAGCTCCTTCGAGAGGCAAAAGGAGAGCAAACCTCCCCAAGGGGAGAGCAGGTGTCAGATGTTAGAAGCAAGTAAGCTTCAGTAGGGAGGAAGAAGGAATGTAACCTCTGCAGGGCTCCAGCTGGTAGCTTCATTAGTTAGCTAGGTTTTACTGTGATAGGAGAAAGGGCAATCTGTTCCTGGGCTCAGGGGGCTTTCTTGCAGCCTCCACTGCTCCCTGACAGGTGTGCATACGGAGGAGTCCTCAGATAATACAGACCTGAGGTCTGATCCACAAAATCAGCTCCCACACTCAGTGTGAACTTGGCCTCTTGTTTGTGTGTGGTGTGAGGTTCAGTGCAAGTTGGTGGAGTGGAACTAATGCAGTGAAGAGGCAAGTCCTGACACTTGGAGTAAGAGCTTTAGCAAGGAGGCTGCCAAAGAGCATAAGTGCCAGCCAGTCTGTTGTTAACTGTGTAACTATGTAATTTTAGTTCCCTGCTGAAGCCATGTATTGTGGTGCATAGCCTGACTTGTTTGTGCAGTCAGCCCAAGTGTGCTGAACTCTTTTCCAGACTGTGAAATACCTGTGTTCAGCATATGTCGTCCCTCTTGCAGTAGGCAGGGGTCCCCTCAGGGATTGAACTTGCTGAAACAACATCAGTTGGATGACAAAGAGGATGACAGAGCTCAGGAGGAACAGGTAAAATGCACACAGCTCAACAGTAGCATTTTGTCCTGCAGCAGCAGGTGAGCAGGCATCTTGAAGGCAGGTTTACAGATGCAGTAAAACTGCTGAAAGACTCCAAAACAACTGCAAAGGAGTGGTTGTAGTCACCCGGATTGGAGTGTGTATTAATAAACGGACTAGAGAGGGTTATTGCTTGCAGATGACTTCAGTGCATACTCACTTTAGGGAAAGAAAATTCTAATAAGTGCTCATATAGAGGGTAACATTAACAAAATAGCACGTGCTACTTTTGTTCACGTGCTGTTATTGCAGAATCATGGTTGTGCTGAGAGCCTGGAAGAAGCAGCACTGCTGCCCAAGGAAATGCTCTCTGTGGGAGCTTTACTGCAGGGCATGCTCGTGTGCTGAGAGGGAGCACATTTGCACTCCTGACTCTTTCATGTCCTGAGTGCTGTGTTGAAATTGTTGTTTCTACAGAAATTCTCCAAAGCAGATGTGGTGGCCAGTGAAGAACAAACATCTTGAGCCTCATGGTGGTTTTAACAACTTCCTCACCTCTTTTTAAAATTCTCTGCAGCTGATTCATACTAATTCTGTTGTCCTGAGCTATCAGAGCACAACAAAGATCTCTTCTGTAGCTCCAGAATGACCAGTCGTGAACCCGTTGTATTTTCATACTTGCTACTTTCGTGCCAGGCCAGAAGATGTCCTGTGCCAGGAGCTGTGCTGTATCAACTGCCTTCTGGGCTGTGAGTTCCTGAAACCAATCCAGTGTTGCAATAAGAAACTAATAAGCAAGTTGATAAGATTTGCAAACACTTAAGTTTGAAAGAAGAAGTGAAAGCAGAGAAGATGAAAACAATCATGGCTTTAGCATCTAGAGGCAGCGTGCTACGTACACTGAGGCTGTTTCACTTCTGGTTTGCCCACTTCTGCAAATAAACACTCATGAGGATTAGTGGGACAATAAAACGAAGACAGTGTGTGCCATGGGCCATGCTGACTGTGTTATGTATTGATCTATCCTGGTACTCAGCTGCCAACAAGACATTCCATTTTTCTCCCACAGAAACGTCTCACCTCACAGGCGCTTGACACTAAATAGTTTTTTGAACCCTTTATCAGGGATTTCCTCAGCTGGGTTCTGTTACACCTGGGAGTTTTGGTACTGTAGAAGATGGCACTTGAGAGTGGAGAAGGTATTCTGACTGACACTTCATTTCTATGTGTGTGACAGGCCATTAGGATCATTCATGCCGTCCTGGAGAAGTATGGGACCTATGAGAGCTTCGAAGTTGCCACTGGTGGGAGACTGCTGAGCAAGTGCCAGATCTGGTCTGTTATCCGAAAGTACATGCAGAAGGAAGGCTGCGCAGGGGAGGTAATCATTGTCCTTGGTTGTTTTTTTTTTTTAATCTTTCATTAAATAAATGTGCAAAATATTTTTCTGCTTTGCTCTTGTTCAGCGAAGCATCAGTTCTGATAACAGAGTTGAATTAAGAAGTGTTTTGGATACAAAGAAGAAACATACTTGCTGGGGGAAAGAAGCCTGAGAGATTCACGTCTCAGGACAGGAGTTAAAGCAGTATCTGAGACCTGAGTTTGTAGGTGAGGATTCTGTAAACAAACTTGGTGGCAGTTTTGTTTGCAAAAGTATTTCACAAAGGCATTCAGCAATCCTCTGCACTGCTGTGTTGCTTTTACAGACACTGAGCTCATTCTGAGCAGCTTCTTCAGGCCACTTGTGGCTCCCAGAAGAGGCCAGCACAGTGTAAGAGCCTGGATATGGGTTGGGCAAACATGGTACAGCTATAGGATTTCTTTTTGACCTGGCCATTGCCTGATACACACGCAAGGCCAGTGTGTTTTGTGCAGCTTTTGGAAAGCTGAGAGCAGGAGCAGCACCTCTTTGCACAGAGCCACATGCAGAGAGTGGAGCAGCAGAGAGGGCTGCACCAGCAGCTGCCCTATGTGTTCCTGAAGCTGGCTTGTACAAAATAGCAGGGCTTGGAGCAGGAAAGAATGAAGGGAAGAAAATCTGCCTTTCTCTTTTGCCTTGCAGTAAATTGCTCTGCTTTTCTGCTCTGAACTGTGGCTTCCTTCTGTCTCTGGCACAGCTCCTGGCTTGCAGTCCTGCAGTTAGGAAGCAGGTGCTAGTGCCCCACCGATTTGCCTGCATTTCTCATTCCAGAAATGCCTCCCTTCTAAACTAAGGGAGCTAAGCTTAAGGAGAAGAGCTGCTGCTTGTCTACGTGGACAGGCACACAGGGCTGAGGCTATTTTGCTGTGTCCATGAGGTATCAATTACCATTGGGATGAATAACCTATTTCTGCTAGCAGTGGTATGGCAGAAATCTGTGGCAGCTGGGTTCATTCGCATATTCAAAGGCAGAGTGGGGGCAGAGATTTCCGGCTTTTCTTTGGCACATGCTGGGTTATGGTGCTTTCAAACTCTACTCTGAGGTTTTAAGACTAGAAACTACCTTGTTAAGATGACACTAGTGGTAAACCAGCTGTGTGGGATGGAGGGTGGAAAGTTCATAGCATCTCTTACCACTTCTTGCTGCGCATCCTGAGCTGCTTTCTGGGGGTGCCTGTTGGGTGCAAGCCTGGGTCTGGTGAAGCAGGAGGGATTTTCAGCTGCCTTCCTGAATTTAGCCAAATAACCCTCCCTTCCAAACAGCTCAGAACTCCTGCTGCTCTCTAACAGTGGAATTGCAAGGAACTGAGCCAAAAATCTGGAAGATTTAAATAAGCAGTATAAATGCATTCCTTCCTTTCTTGTTGTTTACCTCTTGGTTCCTGCCTGTCAGGAGCACTGTGCCTTTCTCTCTCATCTCAAAATCACAGTGAAAAAGTAGAAACAAAACATATCTGTGGTCTCTGCCTGCTGAGTTGTACTGCTGATGCCAGTGTCACAGCTGCTTGGTTGGAAAGCTGCTCTCCTTCTGCACAACAGAGCTCACTGGGATTATAAAGCAGGGTGAGGAGTCTGAGGATTTATCTGTATTACAAGAGTGATTCTTGGCAGCTGGATGTTCACAGGGAAGAGGGATGCCCCATGGCTTTGCGTAAGGGGCTTTCTCCTATTCCTGCCTACGGCATATTTGCCAAACACTTCCATGACCCCAGATCCAAGTGGTGAGAAGTATTTCTGGACTAATTGTGTTCTATCTCTTAATTTGATTAATTGATTGAATTCAGCTGTTGTATTCTTCTTTGTTAATCTAAAATATATTGAGCTCTACCTAGGCAGAAAGACTTATTTTCTTAGCTGTTAGTCCAGCCCTGTATAATTTTTCCTTTGTTCAAGGGATCTAAGGGTTCAATTATTATGTTTGTACTTTGGAGTGTAAGGTATGTGGCTTATATATATATATTTTTTGAAACTTTTGATAAGTGCTTTTAAAACCATTCAATTATCAGTTTATGAATCACCAGCCACTACAGACTGTTGAGTTTCTTTGGGGAAGGAAAAAGGGAAATGTTTCACCTGTGCTTTGTGTAGCAAACGTTGTCAAACTTTGCTTCTGGTACTGGACAAAAACTTGCTGCCATTTTTGCACCCTGCTGAGGAACAGAGCAGCTTCACTGAGCCACCTCCCCTCCCCCCCCTTCCCTCCACCTGTGTATCTGTTTGCTATCTTCTTTCTGCTGTACCCTGTCTGTTCTTCACTGCTGTTTGCTTTTTCTGTTGCTGCTTTTGTGTTGCTCACTAATCATGATGGGTTTCTTACAAAAAGAAACTCTATCTCATGGGGCCCCACAGGTTTCTGAGCTGCCAGGCACTGCGTCGCTGCAAGCACCCTCTGGTTCTCCCATCACCTTTGCTGCAGTGTTGCTTTGACAGGGTGCAGGAGGCACCGTGATCCAGAGGGGTCAGCATGGATTTTCCTGACACAGTTCTCAGCCCTGCAGTAGTTTCTCCATCAGACCTGGAAGAGCACAGAGCCGGGCTGTGCCACACTGCTGCAACTCCAGACAGCTCCCACGCTGTTTGACCTATGCTACAGACTTCTAGGCATTGGGAGCAGCCCAGAAACCTCATGGTGTTGCTTATTTGTGGGCTGGGGATGCAGTGTGGGCTGTTGGTCTGCAGCTGAGGAAAATAGTCAAAAGCTTGTCTCTGATGTGGCCAAAATGTTTGCAAGGGGCTGTGGGTGTAGAAGCATGGCTGCTGCTTTCCCTGCCTTGCTGGGCTGTGAGGTGACTGCAGACCTTCAGCTACAACCCCTGCAGCAACCAGAAACGTAAAATCAAAACTTGTGCTGCTTCTTTCCAGCTAACCAGCAAGTAAACAGCACTTTAGGGAATACAAAAACAGAGTTCACTGACCCAAGTGAAGTCCCAGGACAAATACTTGTGCAGCATTTAGATGAGCCTTTCCAAAACTTGCCAAGAAGATGGTTATTTGGGAACATGGTAGGAAAGTCACTTCAGTGCACCAGCAATCTGAGCTGCCTGCAAATGGGCAGGGCTGGTGGCACTGGCTGCCAAGGAGATGTCAGTGCAGAGTGCTCCTTTTGTGTCCCCATCCCTGGCACTTGAGGTATGGAGGGATGGTCTGAGCTGTGATGAAGGCAGGATGCCAGTTTCCAGCACCCCAGGGAGCATGTTTATGGGTAAGTATTTGCACTGCAGTGAGCTTTGCATATTCAAGAGTTTCTTTGTTGTAGTCCAAGCTGCAGGTTCTGAGGCTTTTCTGGTTCTGTTCTGGCTCAGGGCTGAGGTGATGCTGCTGGAGCTCAGATGCCTGCTTACCATTATTCATGGATTTCCCAGCTGCTCAGTTTGCACTAAAGAAACCTCTGACCGTTGGTAAGTACTGTGTAGTAATACAGGCATTGTGAAATGTTCTTAAATAATGCTGGCTAGTGTGTCCTCAGGTTCTGGCAGCAGTGCTAGCCTGGCCCATCCCACCACACCCTGCCAGTACAGAGCAGATGCACACACTGCTGTCACTGCTTCTGGGAGGCCTTGGCCCCATCAGCGTGCTCTGCTTCTTCCCACAGTTCTTAGGGAGCTCTTTTCTCTGTCATTACACCCACAAATTGGACAGACTGCTCAATGGACCACAAGAATGCGCTGGAGTTTGTGCTTAAAGTTTGGGCACTCTGTGAAACACTGGTGATGGGAATTGTACTGACCTTGCAAGGATCTGTGCTTTCCAGTGGAAGCATCAGGTTTCAGTGCCAGCTGCTGAATCCAGAAAGGTGCTGTGGGCAGTGCAACATGAGCAATCAAGCTGCAGTCTCCCCTGGAGATATGCAGAATTGTACCCAGAGAGTTGTCTTTGCATGGAGCAGCTCTTGGAGCTTCTGTCTTATGAGAACAAAACACCATCATTGCACTGTCAAACAAATACATTTCCTGTCCAGCCTGCTCAGAAGACCTTCACCCTTTTCCCCTCAACATCACATGGCCTTCTGCCTCTGCAGTGTAGTGTCTTCTACTCCAGAGCCATTGTAAACCTCCCACAGCAGGTTGCACAGTTCATTGATGTTCTTTGTCCTGAATCTGCTTCCTAATCACTTCACTTGATGTTATCTATCTATTGATCTTTCTTGTATAAAAAGAAAATAGATTCCATTTCACATAGTTGGGTTCAGTGTTGTCTTTACCTTTTCTTTACCAAAAGAGAAGAAAAAAAATAAGCAAGTGCCTTCTGTGCCTGGTGGTTACCTTGTGCCTACACATAAAAGATTACCCCAGGACCCCTTGTACAGTGATCTGATAGGGTTGCCAAGCCCAGTGATGATTGACTTGTGCTACAGTATAAATCCAGGGAAAGTGATTTAGCTCTCAACCTTTTAAACAGAGTGCTCTGTCACAGGTATTTTTTACAGTTTATTAAAGCTGAGGTATTTCTCTCTGTGGGTCTCCTGAAGAGGGACTTTGTGCAAAAAGGGACCTCCCTGACCAAGATCGACCCTGGCAGCACACCTAGATGGCAGCAGGGGTAAGGCCTTGTTAGGCATCCCTGGGGGTGCCACCCCCATCCAGCAAAGTCCTGCTTGAGCAGGGTGTACAATCAATAAGTGTACAGAATTTTAGGCTAAGAGAGATTATTGCAATAGAAAGATAATAACTAGAAAATGCTTACCAATGTTGTAGGCTTGCAATATTCTTCACTAGGAGTGATCTCCAGGAAGGGATCCTTCCTCAATGGCAGTCAGCACTTAAATGGGTCTAGGAGAGGTGGAGCCAGGCTCCACTCCTTCTGGTAGCACAGGTGAATTGCCTTCACCTGTCCTCCTGTGGCTGACTCATTGCTTGCCTCAGGTGGTCAATCAGAGGTTCAGGCCATGATTCAGCAGTTCCCATGCAGCAGGGAATACTCACTTTCTTGGCTAGCATGCAGCTTCTTCACCACTGAGCAGAACCCCTGTGCCTTTTTCCCACTGATAGAGTGCATCAGAATGAATCAGAACATGGTTTAGAAACCAGGGCTGTATGAAGAAGCAATATAATCTGCAGCTGGTCTGAGGGATGCTTTTTGCCTTTGGGTAAAATACAAGAGGAGAAAATCCATAGGCCTTGTGTCACTCCTGTGGTCAGCAGTGGGAGAAAAATGTCTGAACTTCCAGCAAATCCATTCCTATCAAGTAAGGAGCAACCTGTGCTGCAGGTGAAAGAGTTGCTTTCTTCAGCAAGGCAGCAGAGGAAGAAGCCACAGACAGATCAGGTTATCGTAAGGCTGGCCAGTTTTCTTTGGTAGTGGGGATGAAGGTACAGACAGGAAGGGAGAGTTGGCTGTCATCAGAACAGCAGAGTTGGTCTACATGGAGCACTGACCTCAGTAATTTGATTCATGTAGTTGAACTCTTGGGTTTATGCAATATCTCTCTCACTTGCGTGGGTGTTCTTACAGTGTTGTTTTCACAGTCAGCTTTTCAAATACTGAAACTTGAGCCATTCAGGGGATGCCAAGTGAGCAACACCCTCCCAAAAGCTGCCAGCTGGGATAACCCCAGTGAAGCAGTTCCCAGTGGAACAGACATTAGAGGGGACATAGAAAACCACTGAATACAAGTCATTGTCCTTGAGGAATTTGCCATAGCATGGACAATTGGGCAGTGATTATTTACTTTTTAAGCAGGCTGATGGAAAGCAGGTATAAGTGAGAACATTTATGCTAGGGAAGGGGTTATCTTTTCTACAACTACCCTGTATCTCATATCCTAAATTCCAACCTCCTCGTGGTTTGTTTGTTTTTCTTTTTTCCTATAGGGACAACTAAGAGTGACAGGGCAGCAAGATGTTGTCCCAGCCAGCCAAGCACTGTGTGTTAGATGATGTCCTTGAAATTGAGCCCCACACACTGACACAGCGCATCAAGTCCTGCGTTCCCTGGAGCAGCTCTAGGTCAAGCAGCAGAGGACTGTCACAGGAGTTCAGGCACTAGTTCTGTGCTGAAGAACACAGCAGTGGCTTCGAAGGAGCAGGAGGAGTACTATGACAATGAAATGCATTTTTGTCTTTGTTTTAAGTTCTCTTTTATTTTCCCTTCCCCTCCCAGGTTCCAGGATTTCAGCCTCAGCTGTTTTCATTTGGGATTGCAATGCTTGTTGTGTTCATGTCACACCAAGTTGATATAATGGATAGGAATTAGTTAAAATAATACCAAAGTTTGGCTCCTATGTGGCTCCTCCTTTCTGCTTATGTGAAACTGTCTCCAGTTTTCAGCCACCTCTCCTAAAATCTGCAGGACTAAGCTCATCGGGGTCCCAGGTCAGGATTTGTGCCTTAGGCTGAGGTTGGAGCAGTGACCTCTGAGTGCTGGCTGGATGTGGGGAGGGGCAGTGGAAGGGCAACTTTTATTTATTTTGAATTGCTTTCTGGAACAGAAGTTGAAGGGATGTGCACATTAAAAGTAAAGTGGCAAGTCTTTTCTCTGTGTCTTTCATATATGTGATCCAGTTAAACCATTGCCACGTAAGTCTTCTTATGCTGTTAATTTGCCCAGTAGTCAGTGTTGCTCTGTTACGTTGCACTTCTGGCTTTAATGAACAGCTTTGTACAATAATAAATCTGGGTTTAAAACAAACTGATTTAGTCTCCTCTCTTTTTTTAAAAGAAAAAGAGATAAAAGCTATAATGTAGCAGTAAATCTGTGCTTCAGTTTGGGCTGTGCTAGCAATTTTGCAGTGAAACCTGAGAAGTGTCAAGGCGATGTCTTGCTTGGGATTACAATGTTGTCAGGTTTCTGCTTTTCAACCTGGACAGTTTCAGCTATGAAACAGATGGTTTTTAGAATTCACACACACGTGGCAGAGGGATTTTTGGGGTATGTGCCAATGCAGACACCTGTGTACTTGGCTATATGGAGTTTGGTTCTTTATGTCACAGGAGAGGCACAAGATCCACCTCCAGGATGGTTTAGAGAGCAATCATGCTGATGAGAGCTATTTCTTTCTGTGTAAAGGTGTTTACCAATTGTGCTATTAATCACAGCTGACAAATGCCCAGGTGGGAAGCATGGCTATATGTGTGTGGCTGGCAGCTCTTGCTGCGTGTTGGATGGATCTGTTCTTGTTGCTCTTTTATTGAAGAGTTAAAAGTGACAATAAAAAGGAGATGAAGATGTGAAAGTGGAGCTAGGTTCCCTTGTGAGGTATTTTTGGCAGGTGCCCATAAGTAGGACACATTACAAAGCAGATAAAGCCCTACAAGAAACATTTCCATTGCTGTGCATGCAGTGCTCAAGAAATGGTTGAAAGGCTCTGTTGGAGCAAAGTGATTATTACTCTATTTCCTATGGTATTGCATTGGTAGACTGTAGCTACAGAAGTAGGAATGATGTAGTCATGTGTGGTGGCACGCTGATGCTGCTTGTGCAAATCTGCTGTGCTCTGCCCTCAGCTGTGTGCACAGCACTTTCCCAGCTTTGGGTTTTAGGGAGGTTATCCATCTGCCTTGGTCCTGCAGCACACTGAGAGCTGTCTGCAGCTGGAGAGAAGCTGGGGGTGGGCTGTGCAGCCAGCTTCCCCAGAGCCTGCTCAGATTTTGTGGTTGTGATTAGCTGAAAGGAGCTACTTCGTGTTGGGCTCCAGGCCCATCCTGCTACATCTCAGGGGGCAGTGACCACCCAACCCTGCTCAGCCATGTGACCATCACCATGTGTGTCTCCTCTCTGCAAGCCCACAGAGTGGATGTGGTTTGGCTTTCCCAGGGTGCAGGAAATATGTTAGGGCAAGCATTTCACCAAATTTCTGAAAAACAGGATGCTTGAGGTTGAGAGGTATCTTAGAGGCCATCGGGTTCGACTCTCTACTCAAACACCCACCTGGAGCAGGCAGGTCATCCATTTCCTCATCAGTTCAAGGAAGCCTCCTGGTATCTCTAGTTCTGACATATTTCCTCTCTGGATTGGAATAGTTGTACTGTGTTTCTTTTAGACATTTTGAAGGGTTGCCCAAAGTACCATCTGCTGGTCCTGAGCCAGTGAAAGATCGCTAACATGGCTGCTTGCCTCCTCCTCTCTCCTCTGCAGGTAGTGGTGCAGCTCACAGATGATCTCCTGTCGCAGGCCGTGATGATGGTGGAGGACAGCCGGCCAACGCTGGCCATCAACCTGTCTGGAGCCCGGCAGTTCTGGCTGGAGGGCATGCTGCGCCATGAGATAGGTCAGTGCAGCAATGGGGGACCGTGGGCAGAGCAGGGAGGAGGATGCTGAGCATCCTCAGTGGCCGTCGTCATGAGGACGTGGGGGTAGCAGGCAGGATTATTGCAGTAGGGTTGAGATTTTTGATGCTCACCAAGTTGTCCCCAGCTGACGATGCTTGCTGTTGTCTCCTCAGGCACCCACTACATCCGTGGGGTGAACAACACCCGCCAGCCCTGGCACAGCTCAGAGGGCCGCAAGCAGTACAGCCTGAAGCCTGCCAACCCCACAGAGGAAGGTTTGGCCAGCCTGCACAGTGTCCTCTTCCGCAAGCAGCCCTTCCTCTGGCGTGCAGCTTTGCTCTACTACACCATTGAGCGGGCCAGCCGCCTCTCCTTCTCCGCGCTCTTCCAGGACCTGGAGCAGTACGTCCAGGATGCTGGCATCCGGTGGGAGTACTGTGTGCGGGCCAAGCGGGGCCAGACTGACACCTCACAGCCAGGTACAAAGCCTTCAAGGTTTCGGAGGGATTTTTGTATTTCAGTGCATGCGTTCTGCTGCTGGGTGGCTTTGCCATCACCAGCCAGAGTCCTTCCACGCAATGGCTCCGCTGCTCTCTCATCCTCCTCATCCCCAGCTCTGCTTTCATATAGATTTACACTTCCCTTTGTGGTATATTTTTCAACACCCAGCTGCCCCATCACCTCTCTGGCTGCTGTCCATCAGGCAGGGATGGATGAGGCATGTGGAGCCCTGTGGCATCATCCCAGTCTGATGGATCTTAGTCCTTCCTTGCACAGCCTCTCAAGGAGCCAAAGGAGAAAAAATATAAGAATTTTGAGGATGCACTTAGATCCTAGCATTTAAAAAAAAAGCAATCACAAAGCATGGGGAGACCTTATTACTCTCTTCCAGTGCCTGAAAGGTGCTTACAGTGAGAGTGGGGTAGGTCTCTTCTCACTGGTGACAGGTGACAAGACTAGGGGAAATGGCCTCATGTTGCACCAAGGTAAGTTTAGGTTGGACATTAGGAAACACTTCTTTACAGAAAGGGTGGTTAAACATTGGAATAGGCTCCCCAGGGAGGTGTTTGAGATGTGTTTAAGAGCCGTTTGGATGTGGTGCTTGGAGATATGATTTAGCAGAGGGTTGTTAGAGTTAGGGTACTATGGTTAGGCTGCGGTTGGACTTGATGATCCTCAAGGTCCCTTCCAACCTGAGTAATTCTGTGATTCTATGATGAAAATGGTGAGGGAGTCCAGTGCCTGTCCCTTTTTCCTAAGGGCTGGGGAATGGAGTCTTGCTGCACTCTGCTGCCCAGGCTTCTCCCTGGTGTAGGACCCCAAGGCTGGCTCTGCTCATCCTCTGAGTCTTTTCCTTCCTGCCAGCCCCAATACATTTGGGAAGATAGGGTTTATCCTGGAGTCATCTCCTGGTGTTTCCCAGGCCCTCTCTCTCTTTTCCAGGCTGCTTCAGTAAGGACCAGGTGTACCTGGATGGGATTCTCCGCATCCTGCGACATCGGCAGACAATCGACTTCCCATTGCTGGCTGCTCTTGGAAAGGTAACAGCCTGGGGTCACAGCTCAAGCTCCACACTGGCAAGGGGCTTTCTGGTTTTGGGCAGTCAGGTGTGCTGTCCTGGTGAGAGCAAATAGGATTTTTCCTGGGGCACCAAGACACTACATCACCGACACTACGGTCTCACCTTCTGTCCAGACAGCAGCATCAAGCATCAGTATACAGGCAGCCCATGTGCAGGCAGCTCTGCATGTAGCACCAGCAGGGACAGAGCACTATGAGGAGCCCTTTCTGCTTTGCCTTCCTTCTGCCCAGAAATAGTCAGATTTTATGGTCAGCCTGCACTACAAACGCAGTCTTGGCTCCAGCTCTGTGAGGCCATCTCATTTCCTTCCACATCTCCCCTCACCAACCCCTGTACATAGGGGCACAGCTCTTCATGTTTGGTCTCTGGCTCCTCTTTTGCTGTACCCACCCTACCATGACCCAAAGCTCAGGTGCAGGGATCACCAGCTTCTCCTGTCTACCTGTTTTCCCAAAGCTGAGACCTGGCTCAGCCAAATACTTGCCCTACAGGCATTTTTGCCTCCACAGATGTTTTTTTTCTCTCCCATGTCTTTCTTTCAAAACTTACCTCAAGCCTTCGTTTCCATCCCTTGGCAGTCCATGGTCCCATTTGGGTACTGTGAGTGTAGAAAACCCAACCAGGCAGGCAAAGAGGGTCGCAGGGGGATGGAACCCCTTCACCTGGACATGCTGATCTATCCCTTTGCTTCCCACCAGGTCTCCTATGAAGATGTGAACCGCCTGAAGAAATTTGGCGTCCTGGAGAAGGCTCGCATCCCCCATTTCATGCAGGACCTGGAGCGGTACATGAAGCAGCTCGACCACATTGTCACCACCAACCAGCTGGATGAACAGGAGCTGGAGGAGCTGCTGCCTGAGTGAGCAGCACTGTGCACCCCACGGCTGCCCCACGTGCCTCAGTGCATCCTGCCAGCACTCAGCTGATGCTGGCTCTATTTATTCAGTATTTATTGGGGCTGTCAGGCCGGTTTTTGCCTGAAGGAGATGGCACAGCTCGGGCTTTTGCCCAGGAGGCTGATGTGCATGTACTGCTGTGCAGGGTAGCACAGCTGAGATGGTCAGTGTGGTTGTTGTTGATTTCGCCCCTGCCCAGGTCCGTGCATTTTGGGGAACGCTGCTACTCCGCGTGGTTTTGGGGAAATGAGGGTTTGGAGGGAGCAAGGGCAGAGCCTAGGAGCTGCACCAGTCCTGCAACAGTGCAGGAGGCTGTGCTGGGCTGGTTGCAATGGGGAAAGCATGGCAGGATCCTCAAGGTTCCAAGTGGTGCTCTCCTCATGTCCTCCCTGAGGGGCAGGAGGGACTTCAGTCCTCCCAAAGAACGACCTCTGCTCTCCCTGCTTCTAGATACCTGCCCTGTCATTGCAGACCGTGCAGACCTACAAGTAAACATGACTGCACCCCAAATACGTGCTCTGCCAGGCATCAAGGCACAAAGGACTCGGGGTAGGGATCTGGCTTGATGTTACGAAAAAAAGTGTAATAAAACCCATGTAATGGAAACTAAGTGTGGACCAAACCTTATGGACAGCATCAAGTGCAAAAGCCAGGCTGGTGCCACTGGCACTAACCACACAGCTCACTCACATGGGCAAAGCTGCATGCTGCTGAGCTGGTGCATCAGGAAGGGGTCACCAGTGTGCAAAACCACCTAGTGAGCAGGAACAAGAAGAATAAATTAAAGTAGGCAACAGCAGGTGTTGCCTTGAGCTGTGTGTGGTTTCTAACATGGAATCTCTGCCACAGTCACAGCACCTCAGCTATGCTATCTGTGGGGGAGCTTTTACAAAACAAAAAGATTTGCTTTTCAATTCTGTTGGAACCTTTCATCTGACTGAGCTCTCCTAAGGGTAGCACAGGCCAATTTGAGCCCAGGCTAAATCCCAAATGCTCTACGTTGGGCTGCACATGCAGTTTGTAGCTCCTCCAGTTGCTGCAGGCCCAACAGAACTCACAGGGCAGCTGAAGCCCCTGCAGACTGGTTGCTGGCAACAGGCAGCACAGCACAGAGCAACCTAGGGAAGGGATGAGATGACTCAGCCTGGGGATTTGGCTTCCATGTAGCCCAGGCTCCCACAAACATGCTGTTGTTTTTCACCACTGCCCTCCGTGAGCACCCCTCTATGAACACACTGCCAGCGTGGCCGATTAGACTCTGCTCTTTAATATATTTCCTCCAGCATTGCAATCCTCACCTTTGAACGCGATACAGCACTACTTTAGAAAGGTATTTACACACATCCCAGCATAACCCCCTACTTGTCATCATGAGGAGCAAGGCCTCGACTGGCACTAAGAACCAACCAAGGGAAGTCTCTTGCAGCCTTCATCTTGGAATGGCAGCAATGACAGAGGGCAACATAGATACTGCGATGCTTTCTGATTGGCTTCAGTCGCATCCCTGATGAGATAACAGCATGGAAATGAGAGACAGCATTAACCTATCTCCTCAGCCAAGGCTAGAAGCGCTTCATCTGGCGGCGTTCCTGGCGGCGCTGCTTCTTCTCGTTTGGCTCCTGAGTGGGGGCTGAAGATTCAGCTGTAAACCAGGGCCCCAGGATGTTCACCCAAAGGAGGTAGAGAGCACGGCCCGGAGCCTGCAAAACACGTGTGGAAGCAAAGTCGGTCGTTCTGGATGTGATTTTGGCAGGTTAGGGTGGGCTGGTCCTACAGAGGAAACCAAAGGAGCTGGAAAACATCTACAGGCTGGGTCAGGGACGTCACAAGATCCACTGAAATCAAAGGCGGTGGCGGACACCCAAAATAAATGGCCTGATTTCACAGAATTCAGGAACCTGCATACATTTCTGGGAACACAGCACTTAAGACTTCATACGTGGAAATCGTAGCATCAGTTCTGAATTACCCAGAAAGATCTGACTTCCTGGCTGTTCTGCCTGTCCCTTCTTCAGAAACAAAATCACATTTCTCCGAAGGAAAAAAACACGATCCATATGGTGTGCAGGGGAGCCAGAGCCGAGGCTGCCCCCTGCCAGAGCTGGGTAGGAACTAACCTGTGGGTAAGGATGAAAACAAGATACTTTCTGCTGTTCCAAGATTACCTACTGGAGATATACTCCAGGCAACTCTGGTGTAATATTATTTTAATTGCCTGGAGATTTGGGTTTTTCATCCTTTTGTAAAAGCAGCTCTAGCTGGAGGAGCATGAGAAACACTTCAGGAGTAGAAAGCACCTGGTGTTAAGGGGAATGAAAGCCTGCAGTTTGTTCTACTCAGTGCCATGGGGTCCTGCAGTTCCCAGCCTCAGTCAGTGCTGGTGAATGACTGAGGAATCCAAACAAGAAAAAACAGTCTGTTTGTCACAGTCACAAAAAGGCAAAGAAAACAGCTCTTATGCACAAAGGCAGCTTTCATCTGCTCCATGGTTCCTGTTGCTGTCTCACAGGACCAGAGGGAAAGGTCAAGGCCAACCTAGTTTTTGCACGGTTCACCATGAAACTGACCCAGAAGGATCAGGACTTTTTTTTCTTATATTTTTACAAGGTTTTATGAGATAATTTTTTCTTTATCGGGAAAAAAGTTTCAGCCTGAAACAGGACACTTTGAGATGAAATGGATAAATGATATCCTCCGTTCTGAAGATGGGGAAGGACAGACTATTCAGAGCAACAATAACAACTGCAGGGCTTACCAAGAGCCAGAAGTACCAGACGTAGAGTGAGAAGCAGCTCAGAACCTGGACCATTGCTGTCAGCAGGATCACATCCTTGAGGTGCCTGAGGGAAGGAAAGCAGTACGTGAACCTCCCCATTCCAGCCCCCACCAAAACCACCAGCTCCTCGGCCAGCCTGAGGCACTGCTGAGAGTGAGGGGAGCATTGTCAGAACCAACACACAAGCAGATATTTGGTTTTCCAACACAAAGGAGTGCCGGGATGGGTTAGAAAAATGCCAGCTCTTTCATTCCCACTGAACCATTATCAGAGCAGCAATCCCTACCATCCCTAGGGTGGACAGAGCGTTGGATAGGAGGTGCACTCCTGCACTGCAGGGAATGCAGGGGAGAGGATGGTTCCTGCCCTGAAGGAGCTGTGCCACAAAGAGGAAGATTTAGAAGTGAGCAGGATGTGCACCATCAGAGACAAAAGGGAGATGGACAGGATATTCTCTGTATCACAGCTGGAAGAGCCTCAGCCCAGCACCACAGAAGAGAAGCAGGCACTGCCCACCTCCACAGTGGAGGTAAGTGCAGCTTCAGGAGAATGGAAGCTGGTGACTTCTGGCACCAAGAGGAAAACTCCTGCCCAATCTAAGGGCTTACACAAGTTCCCCACAGTCATCACTGACGAGCAGTCATTGTTCCTACAAGCAAAGAAATGGGTACAGCTAACCCTAATCAAAGCAAGAGCACCAGGAAGAAGTGGTGAGCTATGGCAGTGAGTGACGCCCTGCTGCAGACGACAGGAGGCTGTTTACTAACACACAGAGGGTAGGACATTAAAAAGATGAGCTGGAGATGCATGTGCAGTTGCAAGGCCGTGGGATGGCTCGCATGACTGCAGTGTTGCAGTGGAGGGATGCAGGCTTTTTAAGGATTGTGTGGGAAGAGGAGGGGGGGCTCCTTTATGGGGGCACAGCTGGAGCACACACAGCTGTGCCTGGAGATAGATGAAGTGTTAACCAAGAGTTTATGGGTTAAAATTACAGAGAAGACAGGTACAGGTGATGTTACAGTGCGTGTCTGCTACAGGCCATCTGACCAGCAAGAACAACCACATTAAAGATAAGGCAGTCATGGGTCCTGGGGGCAAAGGTGAATGGTGTCATGGACTTCATTAGGATTGTTTTCAGTGGGTGTAGGGGGGGGTGATCCTTCCTCTCTGCTCAGCACTGCTGAGGCACACCTGGGTACTGGGCCCGGTTCTGGGCTCCCAAGTGCAGGAAAAACACGGAGAGATTGGGGAGAGTCCAGCAAAGGCCCACAAAGATGATGAAAGGACTAGAGCATCTCTCCTGTAAGTAAAGGCTGGGAGAGCTGGGACTGTTCAGCCTGGTGAAGGCTCAGGGGGATCCCATCGATGACCATGAATACCTGAAGGAAGAGCGCAAAGGAGACAGAGCCAGCATCTATCCAGAACACAAGAGATTCCCTCTGAACATCAGGAAGCTATCAGAGTGACCAAGCAACGGGACAGGCTGTCCAGGCAGGCTGTGGAGTGAGGCTCCTTGGAGATCTTCCAAGCCACCTGGACATGGTGCTGGGCACAGCTCTGGGTGACCCTGCTGGAGCAGGGGGGGCACCAGGTTACCTCCAGAGGTCCCTTCGACAACCTCAACCACTCTGAGATTCTGCAATTCATATCAGAAACAATTTTACACTGGGACGCTGTCACCACACCAAGAACTCAAGAAACTGCAGAACCTGCCATTAACAGTGCCATGATGAGACAGGGGTTCCAAAATTTAGTGTATCACCGGCACAAATCACACGGGGACAACCAAACTGCACCCAGCACTCCAAGATACCAACAAGCCCCTACATCAGCCTTCCAAAAGCCCAGTAGGTGAAGCCCAGCAGTGCCATCACACGCAAGCAGCCAGCGTGATTTGTTGCCTGATATATCCCAAAAGCATCTCCCACAGCTAGGATGCTCAAGGTGACATCAAACTTCCTTATTTTCATTAATCAGCTGTCTCGTATCGTGTTTCCACAAAAAAAATATCCAAAAATACTTTATATTTCTGCAGTTGTTCATGAGAGCCAAAAGAAACGGTGTAAAAACACTCTGCTGCCAAGCAGAAACAAGAAGTCATATAGGATGAACAGGGTGTAACACACCTGGCTCAGAAGTTGTACTAGAAATAATTCCCTCTTTTTCAGCCTGCCTTCCCCCTGTGACTGAGTCTCCTACATCACACATTTCAGTTATTGTGCTAAATGTAGAAAATGCACTTCTTGAGAAGCAAAACCACAGCAGATGGGAGCTGATGGTGTGCAGAGAGAACAGGTCCTGAGCTGCACAAGTCAGTTTGCCTGATGTCCCCGTTCACCTGCTGGCTGCAGAAATGAAGCTTCTGTTAAAAACAAAGAAACAAGCAATAACAAATCAATTCAAACTGCCTGAAGAAGGCTGCGGGGTGAATCATTGCAGCCTTCAGGACCTAAAGGGAGCCTATAAACAGGAGGGGAATCAACTCTTTGAAAGGGCAGATAACTGCAGGACAAGGGGAAATGGATTTAAGTTGAGGGAGGGCAGATTTAGGCTGGATGTCAGGGGGAAGTTCTGTACTATGAGAGTGGTGAGGTGCTGGAACAGCTGCCCAGAGAGGCTGTGGATGCCCCGTCCATCCCTGGAGGTGTTCAAGGCCAGGTTGGATGGGGCCCTGGGCGGGCTGGTATGAAATGTGGAGGTTGGTGGCCCTGCCTGCAGCAGGGGGTTGGATCTTCGTGATCCTTGTGGTCCCTTCCAACCCAAAACCATTCGACGGTTCTATGAATTCGTGCTCCTTCCAGAAAGATGTGAAACCAAGCTGCTCCCCTGGGCAGACACCACCTCGACTGTGAGATCAGAAGCTGCAGCAGCACACCTGTATCATCATCTCTTTTTTCCTCAACATCACTAAGCAGGAATTCCCCAAGCAAGGAAAAGACAGCGGCGTCAGCGCCAGGAAGGCTGAACGGGCACCGTGCACGACTACAGAAGGGCCAAAGCAAGGAGGTTTACAGCCCGGAAACCGGATTAGCGTCGAGGCAGCCCGGCTCAGACACGAGAAGTGGGGCACGCTCCGGGCTGGGGCTGCAGGCCCCGCTCACCTGGGCTGGTGCGGGTGAGGACACTCACTCTGCCATCCCCTGCTCCATGTTCAGGTCGATCCCGCCGTCCGCGAGGCTGCCGTCATCCGCGAACGCCGGCCGTGCCATGGAGCTCATGGAGCGGTAGCTGGCGCCGTACACCGCCGAGCTGAACGCGAACGCCAGCTGCCGCGACAAACGGGAAGCGTGAGACGCCGAGCGGCCGGCCAGGGAGCCGGGTTGGGGCTGTAAGCACTCACCCACGTCCACGCGGAGGCGGTTGAGTAGAACA